CAATGGGGCTTGAACAGCAGGGTGCAAAAGGTGGCAAATTATTATTCTCGAGGTGCTGCTTTTTGTGTTGTGTGCCTGTTCCGGGGACTGGCTGCTGGCAGTACGTGTGTCCGAGCTGTGTTAAGTGCTGTGTGGGAACAAGTCCACACTTAGGGAATTGGCTGTGGTGAGGACGGGGCAAGGCCCACGGCACACTAGTGATTGCAGTGTTAGTTGTGCTAACCGTCGGCTGGGATGGTCGTCATCCTTGTGCGCAGCGAGAGCTCCATGCGTTGAGGTGTGTGTGAGAGGGAGAGTAGTAGGCTGTCCATGGCAGATAGGCAAGTGGAGAACAGGCTTTCGGAGGAAGGAGGGAGGGCATTATATTTGTATGGGATGTGAAGAAAGTGGCACAAGACGGTGCTCTCTTAATCATTCCATCAACATGCATGCAGAGTGCCTGCCAACAGTTGAGCTCTGAGGGGACAGGTTAGGCTGATTTTTATCATGGCCACAAGGCAGCAAATGAAACCTCATGTACTGTGCCCTTTTCACAATTTAGCAAATTCCCAAACAACCACCATGTTTTGATATCTGACACACAGTGAACAGTCAGTGACAATGGGAAAATACTGCAGCAAACTTTAAACATACCTGAAGTCTCCTACAGTAACTGGAGCCAATAGAAAGAATCTCATGTCATAGGAAGACCCTTTTACCAAGAGAAGAACCCTCTCCCATGAGAAAATTCTATCCTGACAAAAACTCTCAACCACAAAAGACTATGGAGACATGACTGGAACCCTCTATCATGTTCAACTTTCTACCAAAAAAAGAACTGAAATTAGAAAGGAACCTTCTAACACAAGAGGAACCCCCCACTCCATGTACAGGGAACCTCAGGAACCGTCAATGCCTCCAGAGGAACCATGTACACGTTCCATAAATGGGAATATCCTACAATGGCAGAACCTCTACCTCTAAAAAAAAGGATGCTTGTCAATGAATGTAACTAACAAAAAGTAATACATTCAGCATGTGGCATTGGACATGTCTGCTAAATATGTACATGTAATTATATTTCTTAAGAAGAAACAGAGGGGAAAGTGATGCCAGATGAACAGGCCGAACTGACAATACAGTAAAGCTGAGCTAGGGAAAACAAAATTGCAACCAGATGTCAGATAAAAATGCCAAGGGCAGCTGTGAAAAGTGAAACAAACTATGAAGAATTAAACAATCACACGATTGTACTTGTAGACAAGGACTGGAAGAAAGGGGTGCAGCACAGACAAGCATTTTTTTTAAGCAGAGTGCTAATTTCCTCAAAAAGAGGAAAGACAGGGAGCTCTGTATGATAGGAGTGGAGTGACACAACGACACTGCCAATGGAAGAGGAAAAAAAAAAAGAAAAGAAAGGAGACAGTCTCATTTTGATTACAAAGTGCCAATTTCCTTTGCAAAGCGCAGGAGGACAAGTGCAAGGAGGCGAGTGTCTAAAAGGAAGAAGCACACACAGGGAAGGTATCACTGTGTGGTTACATTCTCGGCGGAAGTCATCTTCGGTAACACTTGTCCAAGCCGATTCTTAATCAAAAGACGCCCATTCGGGCATCCATCATACGCAAAAAAGGGGGTTGAGTAGCAAATGCACGGGAATTTAAGTAATAAAGGTTATAAGTAAGGAATGGTGTGGTTGACATGGGGCCACTGCTTCTACACTTTCCACAGGAGAAGAGGGGAAAAATTAGAATGCATGTTTGAATAGTGTTAGAGCAGGGGTTATTTGTTTGGGATATTTTGGAAAGAAAATGCAATCACACATTCATGCAGAATTTAAATGATGGATGGAAATTGGCAAAATGTGTACATGCAATTGTAAATTGTCACAGAGCTTGAAAAAAAATCACCCACAAAAATAGCCATGACCTTACTTCAGAACAGTCCCACTGAAAAAGCTGAAATGTCTTTCACTTCAGGCGAACGAGAAATTACTGATGGCATGTCGTGCAAGACGGCTTACATCTGCAATGGCACAAAATTAATGTTTCTTGGCAACCAAGAGGAAATGCCTGTACTGTTCCCGAGGGGAAATGTCAGGATAATAAGAACCAGCCAATTAGCAGACTAAAATTGGAACATCTGTGATTTTTAATTCCTCTTTCCCTCCTCCCCCCCTCATCAACTCTCTCTTTTTTAGGGGGCCCGACTGGCTTGTCACAAGCAATATCTCACCTCCCCAACCTTCACAGATCAGACTCAATCAAATCAAATGACATTTCAGATTCGCCCCATTTTTCCCCCCTTTCTTCTCTCTCCCATCCCCTTTTTCCCTACTCTCATTCAGTTTCCGCAGGTGTAATTTTTATTGTACACAGCCTGCAACCCCAGCCGAGACTAAACTAACAGATGGTGCGTGCTCCCTTAATGAAGACTGACCAGAAATTACCAAGGCTTTGTTGGTTTAAATACAGGTCAATGTGTGAAAGAAGATATGATAACCCGGAGGGAATGTGTTTGTGCACTGGGTTGTTTTTTGGGTTTTTAAATTTTTTTTGCATGACAAAGAGATCCCAGGACCATTGTCTGGGATGGTGGAGTCCCGGAAATTATTATTTAATTAATAAATATGACACTATGAATCTCCGCGCCACAGGCCCCGTGGCCGTTGAGAGTTGCATAAAAACGGAATGCATATTAAAATTGTATCTTGTTACACAGTCACTGTTATTTGCTAGGTGTTACAGCCAGCAGGCATGAAATATTAGGATTTTAAGTGACTTCATTAAATTGTCAAAGGAGGTGACCCAAAGTTGTGGAAGAAAAGGACTCTGGGAAGTACGACTTGGTACCATGGCAACAGGGGCAATGGGACACTTAACCTCAGATTCAAATGACCTAGTCACAGAAGATTCGACCTTGCACTTACACTTGTAACAACTACATGCCGTACTCTGAGTAAATCACCCTTTCAACAGATTTTGGAGGTACGCGTAGATCTCCCCAAAACGTCTTTAATAAAGTTACATGTATGTCAACATCAAAACAATGTTAATAAAAATATATCTACGTTAACATTACTTTTTGCATGCAGGTCAGTTTGGATTAGCCTGCCATTACCGAACCACAAAATGTGATCGGTTTGATGAAAGGACCTATTAAACTAGTCTGCATTTATATTGAGAATCCATTCAGGAGTGGAATGGAGTACAGGGCATTGGGAGGGGAACAAACTCACAAGCTTGCTTGGGTGGGACTCGAACCATGGAGCTCCATGTTCAAACCCATGACCATCTAATGAAGAGCTAACTTCCTAAATGTGATAAGCACCATTTTGGTACCATGCCTCCTAGAGTCCTACTCTGTCTTGGCTGCCCAGAGATGGTTTTGATGGGTTCTGTATACAAAACGCGACATAATTGACCAATACACTGAAAACTGAGTAAAAGTACACCCGGTTTCCTGATTTTTTTCTTAAATATTTCAGTATTGTTGACAAATTTCATATTCTTCCAATGGCCACATCATATGTTGAAAATAAACTTTTCAAGTACCACTTGTCAGATGAGCTTTACAACAAGGTCAACTCCATGCTTCTGAATCTTGTAAGGCAGCAGGTACTTGTGACAAGACTGGGAACTTTCCATTAGAAGCTCCCGGGCAGGATGAAGCTGTACAGGCAATACAAAATTTCACCAACACTCTAATGAACAATTCTCTCCCAAATGTTAAGTCGTTACGGTCACCTTCCCTCTTTCATTACTGTGCCAGTTCTGCCTTGCCTCAAAAGAGGTGCTACTGCAAATACAGCTTGGAGACATGGCAGCAGTATGAAATTCACCTGACAGCTCACTCACATGGCTGGTGGCACAGAAGCCTCCACTGACATGCATGCAAAGCACACATGCAAAATAAACAATGTAACATGTTGGCTTCATTGTTCTGGAGAAAAAGCTTTTGGAGGGGGAAAAAAATTATGTCAACAACACTCCCTCCTGTGCACACAGACACTTTTAAAGGAAAATTGTTGTCTATACAGCTTTTCATATCAAGGGGACCCCAAGGATGCAGACTCAAGCAGTATAGTTATGTGTTTTTCTCACATGTCTGATGTGATGTAGGGTTGTTCTTTTCAACGAACGCATTTATTAGTGGGAAAATTTTTGACTCTTGTTACTGTTTATGCAGGTCTCAAAACTTAGGGCACTAAACACAACAATATGAAAACACCAAAACCAAAACAGATTGGTGCACATTATAACTGGTGCACAATACAGTACAACAGTATTTGAGTTAAGTGGGTGAAAGGAAACATGTGGTTCTGCATGCTCTCACAGTCATGCCATCAGGCTATTGAGCTTTTTCACATGATGTCCCTTGACCTGCAAAGGCAGTTCAAGAAGTGTTCCAAGTCTACGAAGGCGAGTGCATTTCCATGCACATGTGCGTATATTAAACACTGACCATGTGACTGAAAACTCTCTATTGAATGATCTATTTTTTAAGAAGTTGGACATGTATAAACCCTGCCCAAGGCTCTATTATTGAAATCACTTGGTTTTACACAGGCTTAAAACTGAAGAACAGTATCCTTATTTGAATTGAGACCTCTAAGTTAGTTGGGGGAATACTGCATGAGGACCTTGTTTTTGACTTTCAATGGAAACGTTAAGGCATTTTGAAAGTTAACGGGTGAGAAGTCGGTCTGATTTTTGTGTTGCATATTTTTGTCAGGACTGAGATTCACAATGTAGGGATGGCAAGCCATTCACGGTTTGCCCAACTCAAACTCTATCATCAAATCATCACAGCTACATGAATTTACTTGAAAGGACATGCTGTAATGTGTCTGGCCACTGTTGTTACTGCACAGGGTTATGATTGATACTTGACATTTAATAACTGACAGCTTTTATCAAATTTCAAAGTAATTTGCACAAAAGTTTTTATCAAAATCAGACAACTTAATGACACATCAGTCACTGGAGCCAAACATCTTTCAGATTAAAAAAATCCTTTTTATTGCAGTTTCAAAACTATTGTACAAGTAAATGTATACGGAAGACAAACAGGTTTAAAACTAGCTGTGTGTCACATTTGTTAAACTGATTTAAAAAATAGGAAATAGATTTATCCAAGAAACCTAAAATTTTTTATTCACAGAAGCAATTGCTAACAGTCAAAACATGAATATATTTCTAAAGGTACATATATGTACACTGTAAGCATGATTAGGCTTTGAAATTAAATGTATGGCATGACACAGAAAGTATTTAAAAAAAAGCAGAAACAAAAATAACCCCCCACCCAAATCAAAACCCAAAGGTCCCTTATGCTTTACAGCCCAATCCTGTAAGCAATGATAGTGCCTCGGATATCAGCGGGGGCAAGAAAGATATACGAAATATGATGCCATATCAAATCCTCCCCTTGGTCGCGCTGCCACTTAACGTATGTGGGCTACAATGGCGCTACCACCAATCCTTTGTATATTTCCCTGTGACTGTCCGTAGCAAAATGATTGATGCACGTTTGCCGCATTAAGACTTGGACGAGCCAAACTAAGCAATTACGATGCAAATGTTCCGATGATCACTCAATTTTTTGGGGGGCTGTCTCTTTTTTTTCTCCATCCTCCTTCCTTCACCCCCCCGACCTGAAAGAGCCAGGTTGAATAGACAAACAGTATTTTCTGTCATTCATATCCCCCGCATTACACCAACATTGTTTTTACAACACTCCAATGTGCATTTTCCACAGTCCCTGTAATCGCACCACAGCTACACGGTGGATCAGCACTTCCCCTGCGTTGTTTTCTCACGGATATGATACGCATATCAGATTTTACATCACCAGGGCTTGTTGATCACAAATCGTGAAAGTTACGACAACAAAGGGTTTCCAACAGAATTTCCCAGCGGACCTCAGGTGAAGGGAGGGCTTCTGTGACAGTAGCACGAGTAGCGAAGCATTTATGTCAAAATCACGGATTAGCGCAGTTAATTAGGAAAAAGATTGGGCATCAATTTTTAGCAAGTTCAACAAACGCAAGTGACTATAATGGCCTCATCCATGACTAAAAGGGATGCCACAACACACAGGTATTTCCACTGTCGCGAACAGATTGTAATGGACTTCTGTTGAACAACTTGTCAAGGAATGCTACAGTGCTGTGAACTCATTTGAACAACGCAGCTACTTTAGGGTTTAAAAGTAACAAGAAGGAACAGATACCAAAATACCAAAAGTTTATAGACATAGTATGGAAATTACCAACATTTATTGTATTTGGGATATAAAAAATTAAGTAATGTAAAAAGTTGACATGAAGATAAAACTTTCTAGCTTTTCAAATTTAACCGTTTGTAAACAAAGGAAGTAAATTAATTAAGATCTTGATTTTTGATAGTGGTATCTATAACAATGAAGGCACTCAATGACTTTCATTTATCAAAATTTGATTAATCATAGAATTGCCTAACCTTAAGCTATATGACTCAACATATCTAATAATGAAAACATAATACCTGCCAAAGAAAACTTTATTAACAAAAACCTCACTGTGATTGATAATCACCTTAATTAACCATATGAAATTGGTCCCCATCAAAAGGAATGATTAATGCAGCAAATAGCCAGAGATTAGAAAAAAATTCAAACAATCAAATCCAGAAATTGATTAAATTGCCATTGTGAGTGATCGTCGGGACGACAAACGGCCAAAATCTTTTAATTAAGAGGCGTCAAATTGGTCAGCTATCACTCAGCCAAATGCTGGATGGAATCAAACGATCAGCCAGGATCTGGCGATCAGTACACCAATCTGACAGACATGAATAAGCCGACAGTCTGGTCTTATCAATCATAGAAACATAATTCACAGGTCATCACATGGTGTTCATTTGAATAATGGCTGTTCTGAAAACAACCCTCTGATTTGGCAAAAAAAAAACAAACCACGATGACAAATAGACTCCACTACCTATACAAGTTGGTGTTCATTCAAAACAAAGTAAAATCTTGACAATCAATGTTATAACAACTGTAGTTCCCCCTGATTTGAATTGTGTCTGGAACAACAGATGGATATGTACTTGAACAATAAAACCGGTGGTACATACACTTTACTTGTAACAAGGCTAGAATAGCGTTGCTTTGATAGGGGATGAGAACAGTGTGTACAAACTGACGTTCAACTGAGGAACCTATCGCATTCCTATCCCATTCAAGGATCCACAGTAAATGGTCATAACACCTCAGTCAACAAATCAGCAGCTTGGCTCTCATAACTTTGAGCCAATCAGATTGCGGGTTCTACGTTCTCAACAGTAAGTCAATTTATGATGGCCAATCATATGTTAGTACCATGAACCCTGTGGTTAGATGTGTGATGTGCATCTTGCGAGCGCAGCAGTAGGACATCAATGTTTGTACCATAATAAAATAACTTATTAAAATGCTTTCAATGGAAGTATGTACCTTCAATTTAAGTTGCCCTAAAAGTGAAAGGTTCAGACTGTGGATAAGGAGATCCCTTAAATAAAGAAGTACCATTTAATACATGTTTTCAACTTTTATAGATCACCAAAAAACTTGTTCCCTCAGACCAAGATAAAGCCTCATCAGTATTGTAAAGTTGTACTGCAAATCACATAAATAGAAACTGGATAATACATATTCATAAATTAACTTGTATAAATAAGCACCACTCCTCCGTTCATGTTTGAACAAAAATTAGCGAAAAAAAAAGAGTTAGGAGGAGGAAAAAATGTAGGCACCAGACTAGTTCAACCATACTCAGGCTTATCTCAGCATGGGTGCTATATTTTCACTTTGGATGACCTTTTAAGATGTTTAAACAATGACATGACAAGGTTTGATCAGTGTAATAATCATATGCACAAATTTATAAGTAAAAGAAAAAAACCTCAATGCTACAAGTGACCCTCAAAATAAATAACGTTCCTATGTTTTAGAAGATGTCTTTGCACCAAAGTCAAAGAAAAATATACAAGACATGACTGATGTAAAGCTAACACAATAATTGAATTGTATGTCTGCTTGCCTTTTTTGTCCTCAGGGCGAGCAGATGTGGAGAAGAGGTTGAACGAGCCTTCCAAGCCTGTCCATGGTTTAGGCTTTCCTAAAGATGAGAAATCTGTGATAAACAAATCAAAACGGGTTAAATAGTTGGACATATAAAAATAACAAGCCTGACTTTGGATGTTGTTACCCCACAGGTACCCCACTAGTCCTCCTTGGAGAATCCTTGATACCATTTATTAAATTCTTCATTATTTCATCATCTACAATGAAATCCAAAGTTCTAAGGCTGAATATCTGTCTAAGAGGGAATATGTGAGAAATCCGAGTGTAAAATGACAAAGGTGCACGTCTACAATCCTGGACAAAATTGTTGGGACACTGGCAATAGCTGTATGCTCTCCGGCCCCTTCCAATGTTGTCATGTCCTGCTGGAACGCAGACCACGCGCATAGACCCAACATTGAAAGGGGGTCTGGGGGTTGGGGCCAAACCAGATTTGTCCAGGATTGAGTATCAAGGTTGATCTTTGACTTAAATTTATGGGATACCATTTTTCACATGGGGGGACTTAAGGAAACATCAGGAAAATTACATTTTGCTCCCCTTAATTCTCCTAACAAATTGGAAAATGAAAGAATTGGAAAATGAAGGAATTGGAGTGAAAGGGAATAGTTGGTAATTTCAAAGACATTTTTTCACATTGTTGATGTTTTCGCGAAGTGATAAAAACCTCAAAATCTCGCCAAACGGACAATCTGAGAAACAGGCATTTGAAAATACCAGCCTTTTCAATACACATTTTTATGTTACGGATTGAGGAATTAATTTACAAAGTCATGAAATGCAAGACTTGGAAAATGCTAATCCATACTTATTTGCAGGTATATTGTCTTCATTAAAGAATAATTCATTAATAAAAACTACTAAACGTTTTCACTTCGTGAAAACAGAACACCTGCAGGTCTTTATTTTTTCCTATTGCATTACACAAAATTTTGTCACTTAAAATTGTTACATTTACATTCCAACACCCACACAGGTGTTCATGTACAGACTCATGCAGGGATTGTGTATATTGTCTCTATTTTTACCCTACAAACAATCTGACGTTGTCACTTTGTGAAAACAGAGAAACACAGAGACTAAGCTTTTTGTTGGTTGTTTGTTTACAGTTACGAGGAAAGTAAACAACATTTTGCTTTGAAACTTTGCTAATTTGTTCTTTGGATAAAAGGAAGTAAAATGGTAGGGAAAAATCTAGATCGAAAAATTTGTGATTTTCTGGGTTTTTGTTGAAAACACCGACAACACATGCCCCTTTTTGAATAATTTAATTGATTGATTTTTACTTTTCCTTTCAATATTTTTAGTTGTAAACAGAAACCAGTTTGAACATTTTAGTGTGGTTTTTCCTTCTTCCGTTGTTTTGCTTCCATTTTAATAATTGACAGGTATTCCACTGCTGGATGTGGTCAATAAATAATACAAATAAAAATACATTGGTTTGTCATTAGAATCAATTCTGAGGAAACAATAAAGTGTCTCTTTTCCTTTAAGATTTTTGGGGTGTTAGGGAGTTGGGAAAATATGGCTTGGGGAGGAGCTAGAGGGAGATTTGAGGGATCAGACTCATACAGCAATAAAACCAGCAGAAACAGTGCCTGCCATGATGTAGGAATTGTCACTACACTGATGTGCTTACGAGTTTCTCGGAACATGCCAGAGGCACAAGGAAAAATGAGATTTTTGAAGTCTGAAGACTTCATGCACGCTCCTTGTTAAACATTGTGCTTAAGCCAGATAATAAATAATGCATTGTTATGATCGCCGTGATGAGAAGATAAGATCATGCTGCTTCTTTGCCCCAAGTCTCAAAATTTTCTTCCTTTTTTTTTCTTCCCCTCCTTGGCAATAATCAAGGACACACCGCATAATCCCATTTCTGCAAAGCGTGACAAGTGTAGGGCCGTGGTGATGAGAGAGAAGTTACTGTCTGGAGATTACCAGCCTCCGAGGAGCAATGAGGGTGGGGGCAGGGTTCACAGAGGCTGTGGCGCTGAGGTTGCAACACAAGGGGTAGTGACAAGGGAGTCCCACAGAGGTTGCAAGATGCCCCAAACATGGGTGGGATGGGGGGAGCAAGGAGGCTTTTTTTTCCATTTCATGTCCAAGGCTCGGGCAAGATTTCTTGGAGCAACTTTACGGATAATACTACCTCGCGGGTTCCCACAGAAATCTGAAAAACCAAATTCCATGACTTTTTTATGACTTTCCAAATTGAAACCATGACAATTTTGAACAAAAAGTCATTGGTATTATGAACTGGAAGACTGCCATAGCCACTACAGACTAAAAAGGATAAAGCGTTTAAATCACACTCAAAACATTCCTAAAAATAAACCCTTGCATGATCTTGATTTCCATGACTTTTCCTCAGACAACAGGATTCCCAGACACCCTAATTTTCCCCAATTTTCAGTGACTTTGCATGACTTCCAAGGATTTTCTATGATCATGGGAACCCTGTACTTAACAAATTTATGAGCTGAGCCGAGATCTGCTGGGAACCCATCACAAGCGCAGTATCCATTCCATGCATTTTGATTGGTTTCCTGTTATTGCTGAACAAATATTTCCAAGGCTAAACAAATTTCTGCACTTGGCCAATGAGATTAGCCAAAATGCCACCAAGGTTGAACAAGGTTTTCAGTGGGCCTCAGGAAAATTAGTTTTAAATAAATTTCTTTTCTTACTCTTCATTTGCAACAAAAAGAGCACTCTTATCCCCCTATTTTGTTATCCAACGAAGTTTGACATCCTACTGGAAACAGACATTCGGTGGAAGAAAATGATGTCCCTTACTATTGATTTCAACACTGCAAGATGAGTTTAATGGGTCTGTTGTTCAACCGTAGCTCCAAAATGATAACTTGTTACTGTTTTTGTGGGGGGGGGGGAGGCAGGTGGGTGCTTTCTACTTTCAGTGACCTTTCACCCCTATGACCCTGGTACAAATCCCATCCCCGACTGGTACCCAACCGGTGTGCTTTTAGGCCCCTCAACTTTATTCTACAAGTTGCCCTTAGAATGTCTAAGATTTGCCCCTCCCATTTCTAAATCTGGGGAAACTTTTTCTACAATATTCCCTACACAGGCTTTTGAATGTTTTTAGGCCACAGAGCAATAAGGCAGCTTTCTGAGATATCCTTGCTTTCACTCTACTAAGTACATAAAAAAACCTTAAAACCTTCTGAAAAGCAAACATGGCCAGTCCCTGCAGGTGTCGTCTCTCCCCAAGAGACCTCCCAGCCAAACTTTCTTTTACCTCAAGAACTAGAAGCAATGACACAACAAAACCTGCATGAAATAATTACTACAAGCTGAATTCATCCTCACTGCATATATTTGACAAGGTGGGGGGGTTGACAAAAGCATACATAAAGGTATTAAAACAGCCCTGGCTAGCCTTGCCTGTGGGCTCCATACCGACACCTTTCCCTCTCTTGATCTCTCCTCTCTTGTCCTTGATGTCATCCAAAATCCCGAACAGACTCCGTCAGGCAAGGGGACAGCGTGCAGCCCAGCATGAAATCAGTTTTTCTGGCTCACAAAGGGTGCCAGGAAAATCCCATTAGGCTATGACAAGTAAAGTTTGTTTGTTCCTGATCACAACATCCTATTTTTAATCTCTTTCAGATTTCTTTCGAGGAGTGGGCTTCTTTCATTTTGGGGAGAAATTCACAGTGCCTTCATTTCTGGGTGATGATGGTGAAGGAGCTAATCACTTGCTGCTCTTGAGGTGAGCCTCTTCTGGTAGAGTTTTGCATGGGTCAGGAAACTTTGATGCATTCTCATATTAATAAGACCTGTGTTTCTCACTAAATACGAGCTCAAGGTTCATAAAGTGTGCAGAGGGTTCATTACTGTATTTTACACCTGCGATTTGTAATCTCTGACATATGGATCTCCAAGCATGTACAATAGTGGGCACTTTTTATTTTCCTTTCTTTCAACCAGGTAATGATCTCCCTTTGACAATGACACACAGCATATGGGTGCAAGCTTTTTCTTGGACGTATTTACACACTGTGCAAAGTATTTACTAGTGTACTTTGGCACCAACAGCCTTCAATTGTCACCTGTGCCTCTCTGTTTGTCAAATTTGTGCACGAATGAATGCTGCGCACAGTTCAGACCACTCTTTCAGTTCACTTTCAGCCATGTAAACATAAAATACTCATTCCCCAGTTCTGGGAACTTCACACTTGAATGATAGATATTAAAGGGAAAAAAATATTACAAGGACACAAAAAAATTCCCCACAATCCAGTCTAAAATTTTTCGCTATAAGAAATTGTCCCCCCAAAACGGTGCTGGCAGGATCACACAAATGTACCCTCGTGTAACAGCATATACACTGTAGCTCCTCCGCATACACTTGAGACTCAGACATTAATTCACCAGATAAAAGACATCAGGAGACCAAATTAAATAGTGTTAAACCTGAGAGAAAGACTATCATTTTGACCACATGGTTTTGGTAATGCATTTGACCTTTAATGGGCAGCTGATGAAAAACTGGACTAGCAAGCAAGTGCCATGCCATCATCAGCATTTCAAATCCACAGTCCTGTGAAGTAACGCGCTTCCAGCTCAACAATGTCAAAATGTGAGCATTACCATCGGTGACAGGTGTATTGAACTGTGCACCTTGTTTCCTGCTGGACCCCAGGTGTCCATCCACGCAGTGTCTGAAAATTAATTCCAAAGTGGACAGCAAGAATCAAACGAGTCACTTCGGTAATCCCCTTTTGGTAGGATGAAAAGGAAACAGAGCAGCGATTGGGTAGATTGTGAGGAAGTAAAAGAAGTTCTGTGATTGAGAACAACACATGCTTCCGTTGCCATGGTCCAGTTTGCCCTTCAAGTTCCAACATGAGATTAATTGAAAGGTACACTGTGTGGAAAATGGAAGGACAACGATATCGGAAAGACCATTACAAGACCACCCCAAAACAAGAACAACAACACAAACCAAGGATTTTTTTTCCAGCCGAGAGAGGGAAAAGAGGAAATAAAAGGGATACAGAGAGATGAAAAGGAAGATTAAGA